TAAAATAAAATGTTATTATACAGCAATATTTTTATACTTCAATTAATTTATTTTTGATTATTATCAATTTTATGTAATTCCTTTAAATTTTCGTTATTAATTATACAATATAATTAAATATCGCAATATTTTAAAGAATTGATATCAAATCTCCAATTGTTTTGACAATAATAATAAAAATAAAAAACAAATAAATAATTAAAATGATAGATAAAAATAAATTATAAAACTCTAACGTAATTTTCGTTTCTATAAAACAGATATTGTATTATATAATTATGTAATAAATTTCAATTAATTTATAAAATATGGAAATGCCATAAAAATGAAAATTAATTCAAGGATTGATTGTGTTCAAAATCAATAACACTAAAAAATATAGAGTAAATCATTATTTTCTAATAAGAAATATTAAATATAATATCTTGTGACAGATATTATTTTAGAATCCATAATCCAATAATAATATTTTATTAAGTTGTTTCAATTTTTTCATAAATGGGCAATTCTTAACTGCTTCTTAATGTTTTTAAATAGTTTCGATGCGTTTATTTTAAATTAATTTAATTTTTTCTATTGTAAAGGCAACGCAAAGGCACTAGAGAGAGCCGGTGCAAGGGAGCTAAGGAGATCTTTTGCATATAATATATATTTAATCATATATATATATATATATGATTAAATTTGCAAGCATCCCAAAACCTGATATATAAGTAATATGCCAAGTGACTACTACATTAAATTAGGCTACTTCTCCACAATTATTTTTAATTAATTTCTAAATAATAACAGATTTGATAATTAAAAAGTAACCCAATTTAATCCGATAGTTGTTTGGCAATTTAATCATATATAACAACAACAATTTTTATAACATTTATTATACAGTTAATATATGTACAATAGTTGTAAGAATAAAAATGTCTATTGTAATTACATTTCAACATGAATGATTTGTCTCACATTGAAGTTAAATGATAAAAGATAACAGAAAGAAAGCATTTTGTAATACATGTTATCATTTTAAACTTTCTTTTATGATATAAAATAAATTAAAGCAATGGAATCAGTTATTATAAATCTTTAAAATAAAAAGTCTAAAAAATTCTTAAATTTTTTTAAAACTAACGAGTTAAAATTACTCTTTTTTATCTGACTTTGAAGGAACTCAAAACACAGAAATGGAAAACTGAAGTTAATAATTACTTCTTACTTTATTCAAACTTTTCATCACCACTGATGAGGCTGAAAAAGTGAAACACATATGTATTTCGNAGAAGAGATATTACCATACGAAGAGAATACGATAGAAGTGATCGTCCTACCAGACGGATAAGGCCATACGAGACCGATTAATTGAAGTATAAATATACGACAAGATTGTCAAAGAAATAGAAGAGAAATACAGACTCTGATAGATCGATGTAAACTCTCTCACGCGTTAGGTAGAAATAAGATAGTTTAAGTTAGAATTAGATATAGGTTAGATTCATTATTGTATATTTTTATTATTTGATTTATTAAATATTTTGATTTGTTTTATAAAGTGGTTTGGTCTCTATTAGACATTCATTTTCATTCAAGTTTCCTTAGATCCTCCGAATCCCGAGTTAAGGATAACGCGTGTTAATCCGCGTATCTAAATTTGATTAACTGATGTCAAGGAATCCTGACGTAGATCTGGTCTGTGAAGTCCAGATCGTTTTAAACATAATTAACAGTCCTCCTATAAAAAGTATCGAGACCGAATCTCACGATTCTGAGTCGTGTAAGTGGTACTCTTGGTTAGTATCCTTGGCTAGTCTCCATAAACAAACTGATGTGTATAAAGATAAAAGAATTGTAAGTACGAAACCTTTTTGAAATATCTCATAATGTGGTTAGGAATCTTGCTACCACATTAAATAAATTTAAAAATTTCAAATTTAAATATATTTTTTTGTAAGTAAGATTTACAAAAGTAAAAGCTTTATATGTTTAATATGTTACTTAACAGACAATAGTTTTATAAAAGATACTTTTTGAGTTACTTCATTGCAATTGTTAGTCTTCAGTAATGAATGGTTATGATAGGAATAACGATAAGATTCGTTCTTGTTACTTCCACGTATCATATAACAGCCTTTCTGTTAGTTTAATTAAGAAATGCAAATGATTTAAACTTTTTATTTTAAAGATTTATGAATTACAGTGTAAAAAAGTAGTGTATTCACTTGCAGGTTTACCTCAGATAATCAGGGTTCTCCTATAAATAGTGATCCAATTAAAGAATTAAATACTTAGTTTAAAAAAAATGACTAAAAAAAATCTATGCTTAATAAACAATTACATGTAGAAGTGCTGTCCTCTTGTAAATGTTTTAAATTAATGTTCTGAACTAATGGACTCATCTTCATTAATTCTAAAGGATTTTCCTGCAATGGGAAATGTTCACTTTCTCTTCTTTCTCTTATTACTAAGAAAAATGCTCATTATGAGACTTATTCAAAAGAATAAAGAAGCAAACTTGTCTGTATCTTCATTCTGCTGAAGAAGTTTTCACATTGAAAAAAGTTATCCAGAAATGATGAAGATAAGTTTGATCAGAACATGAAGATTAATTTGAAAGATGTGACTACAACTGTTTAGCATGATCACTGGATTTATTGAAAATTTATGAGTCAATACACAAGTCAAAACACAGCAGGTTAAGAAAAATGGGATCATAGAAAAAATTTGCATATTTGGAAAACAAATTTAATAACAATTATATATATTTAATTATTTAATAGTTTAATATTTGATAAACTTTAAAGTTTATTTACCTCAAAATCAAATTCATCTTTGCATATTAATAAATCCAATGGGATGTTTAATTTTGTAAGAAAATAAGTAACTTCAGTTCTAATTCGGAGATCTTCTCTGGGAACATTGATAACTGGGAATACTATTATTCCAAAAGCCAAATTCAGCTGTTTTAAAATAAAAAATTGTAAAAAAAAAAATACAAAGAAAATAAACACTAGAAGTTTTAATTTAGAATTAAATTCAATTGTCATATTTTGTAAACCCTTATCAAAGTACATGAGAAATTCATATGAAGCTTTCTTCTAAAAGTCAGATATCAAACTTTAAATATTTTTGAAATTCTTGTTTCCATTATCAGAATTTCCTAAATAAAATTAATATGAAATACAAATCTGTTAGTAGAAATATATCAAAAAAGGTGAAAATAATTTTTATATACTTTAACAAAAAATTTAATTAGAGATTTCTAAAAGAAAGACATCATTTTAAAATTTTTTAAAAATTTAGATAAAAAAAATTAAAATATCAATTTTTATTTTTTGTAAATAATAAATAAATAATTTACTAAAATAAATAATATTAATTATTGAATTATTGATAGTAATTTGTATTGTTTTGTTTTGTTTAATTTAATTACACTGTTCATCAAAAAGTTAAGAAACAGATGTAAATTTTGAAGTAATTAAAAAAAAATGTATACATGAACAAGCAATTATTTATTGTGACATTGTCACAATATTGGGCTGTAATTTTTCTCAGAATGTTTTCAATTTTTTTCATAGTGTTTTGCCCCTGTATCTCATACTTTTCCTGTTAGCAATAGAACTGTGCCAGTAATCTATCTAACTCCGTTCAGGGAATCTTTCTGAATTGAAATAACTTGACTTTTGGTGCAAACCACAAGTTCATATATAGTTAATTGGTGCCTCCTGTCCCTAAGCTTTCCATATCTGATCTCTGCTTTCATCTATCTAACTCAGATCTCAAGATTAAGGAAAGACAGACAGCAACAGTGAGAATTTATAGGTCTACAATTTTTTCAAATTGCAGCCCAATTACATTGGAAGGTTATGCAATATAATAAAATATATTAATTTGAAAAAAATCCAACTTAAAACTATGTAAATACTTATTGAAACATTTAGATAATATTTAAGATTCTTAAATTTTCCAGATTTTTAAACTCATTCTGCCCCATGAGCACTGAAGGCCTTTTTTTCAAGCCCATTATGGGTTTGGTCAGTTGGTAAGGGATGGAATTTGACATATCTGGGACAGACTATCTCTAAAAAATTCCTGGATTTTTCAACTGCCCAGATTCACTCTCAGAGCTCCCAGACTGTAAGCTGATGCCTTAACCACCTTAAATATCCAGCTGGCCAGTTTTCCAGTTTAAGAAGTCTATAATTTATTTATTCTGATTATTATTCATTTTTAAGATCTTTCAGATCATATTTTGAGATCTCTTTTAATTAGAATAAATAAATTGGATTTCTTAAACTAATAAGTTGTAATTTCACAAACTGAAAGAATTTGAGTTAGAAAATAAAAAGTATATGTATTATATAATAATATTTATAATTAGAAAATAGGAAAAAATAAAGTATAGACACTCCTCGACTTATAATGTTTCAACATACAACATTTTGCACATACAACAGCCAATGTGAATGAAACAGAAATGCAAAAATTATTAGAATTTGACTGAAGCAACTCAGGCCTTGTAGCATTTCCAGTCTGGAAGATATCGATAGCCTTGTTAGCATAGCATCTCCCCCAACCAGCAACTAATATTCCACCATTTCCTTTAGCTTTTTTTAAGGTTTTCTAATAAAATTTTATTTCAAACTTTTCTGGTGGATGTTATGACATTTGAAAGATTACTGCTTGTAACAATATACAACATAGCATAATATATTTCTGTATATTTTCTTTTGTTTCGTTCATTCTTTCTTTTCTTTTTTCTGTACATTTTATGATATAATATGCAATTTTACGTACTGTATAACTTTATCTTTTTTAAATTTACAGTATTTATTTTATTTTCAACTTACAATATTTTCAATTTACAATGTCTTTTTCAGAACATAAACCCATCACAAGTCAAGGATAGACTGTGTGATATTCCCTTATGAATATACAAATTTCAAAATAGTAATTAATGCTGAAAATGATTTAATTTATCAATGAAACTAGTAACAACTCCACTCTATGAAATACAGTAGAGCGTCGGTTAACCGAAAGCGTTCCAGTCGGCAAATTTAAATTTCCACTAGTGCTGTGGCGCTGCAACCTTTGGCTATGTCTTAGGCTACTCCAATATTTTTTTTGTTGGTGTGTGTGTTTTAGCTGGCAGCACTGGCACTTTTGTGTGGTGTTTTTCTGAGGACTGTGTGTCGTGTTGAATCAAACATTTTTGATACTAGATTAACTTCTAAAGTATAATTTTTTTGTTTTTATATTTTTCAATATATTTATTTTCTTTGTACAAAATAAAGAAATAATTTTTAACAATACAACAGCAACGATTATTATAAAAATTTTCGTTAGGCTTAACATTGACAAAAATTCAACACAAAGCGACACACAACGGAGAAAAACTTCAACATGGGATAGGTTAATATATTTTTTCGTACATAATCAGTTATCCAAAAAATAAGTAATCCAAACAACCCCAGTTCCCAATTGATTCGGATAAACGACACTCTACTGTATAATTTTTAGCTATGAAAGATTCTGTATGAAGTTACATGAATCATTATGCATTCTCTTAAAGCATTTACAAATCTTCTTCATCTTCGCCTTTTTCCATGTTTATATGAGGTTGTTGTTTCCTTCTCTAATACGTTTCCTCCATTTCTTCCTATCAAGGGCTTCTTCTCTCTTAAGTCCCTTCTGATTCAAGTCTTCCTCCATCTTATCTTTCTAACACAGCTTTGATCTTCCTCTTTTCCTCCTTCCTTTTACTACCAGTTTTCCAACCCTCTTTCCAACATCATCTTCACTTCTTCGCTCTACATGGCCAAACCACTTCAACCTACATTCTTGCATCTTCCTGATCAAGTGGCCCACCTTAAGATGATGTATAAACGGCTAGAAATAAGTGAGGAAGGTTTTGTATTGATCATCTTAAAATAGTTCTAGCTACAAATGCATAGAAGCCCACCTTAACAAAACCTCTAATAAAATCACTCCTTATTCTATCCTTCCTTGACACTCCACACATCCATCTTTCTTTCTTGGCTCTTATTATTGCCCATGTCTCAGCCCCATATAACATTGCAGGTCTAACAACTGATTTGTACAATTTACCTTTCAGCTAACTTTCTTGTCATATAACACACCAAACCATTTACAAATATTCTATTTAATTTGAGATGAAAATTGACTGGTCATTTTATTTGCTGAATATTTTTATTTTTAAGATAATCTTTCTCACACATGCCTATATATTTTCATGTAATTATCTATAAAAATAAAATCAAGATTGACTACATCCTTAATGAATTCCAATATCTTGTTATTATTATTATATATATAAATGAGGATGTTTGTTTGTTTGTTCACTATACACTCCTAGGCCATTTGACCAATTGCTATGAAAGTCAGCAATCACATTAAAATACTTCCAACTTGAATAATGTCATACATCCCACTCCAAAATATTGATTAATTTCTAATTACATTCAATTTGTTGAGTTACACATAATGTCATCTATTGACAAAACATTTAACAAAATAATAAACTAAATATATTTCTTACAAACAAGGATATATTTTTAAAAACATACACTTAATTACTGCAAGAATGCTATAGTGCAAAACAGACGTGCTATATCAGTACTGAGACAGGTAGTATATAGCACTTGTCTGCATGGAATCAAAAGTGTTTAAGCCCATGAAAAGCCTATAAGTATTTAATTTTCCACATCTATTAATTCGCATTTTTTTACTTCTGAACGATACTTTCTTAATTGTAATAAGCATCCTGCAGTAGCCAAGTGAATAAAACTACCAAACACTGGTAGTTAGTTAGTCATGGGTTGGGCACTAGGTTTGGGTGCTAGGTTTGGGCACATGGGTTTGAGCACTTTGGCCATGTGGAGTTACCAGCTTTCCTTCACGCTAGTAGCATCTAAATAGGAGCCAGCTTCACATAAAAGTCTTCCTAGGATGCATACCCTCAGCAGATCGCTCATGTATCACGTTGCCGAAACAAAATCATCATCTTCGTCGTCGTCAACCCTGGGCTCATTGCCTGTTGGTGTCTGATGCCTTTTCCACTATTTTCTTCCATTTCTCTCTATCCATTGTCTATTTTCTCAATTCCCATACATTCACTTCACACCATTCTCTATTTGGTCTGCCTCTTTTGTTGGATCCATCCATAATACCATAGACTAAAGTCTTAATTTTTCTGTTTTCCTTCATTCTTGTAATGTGTCCAAACAGTTGAAGTTTTTGTTGTATAATTTTTTTGTAAGAGATTATTTTTCATATGTATCCTATTATAAAGTTCTTCATTTGGGAAAGAGTAATGGGTAAGTATGGATATGGAGCAAGGAATGAATGAGGGGAAAGAAATATCTCTTCTAGATGTCTCTTCTAAGCCTAAGAGCTCTTTTCTCTTGGACAAGCTTTAGGGTCTCTTGTGTGATCCATTTCTTGTTGATTTTTTCCTCTTCTAGTATGGTCTGCTCAATTGCTTCACTTATTGCCTTTGCTATTTCTTCCACTCTTGTGTCTAGCTCTTCCATCCTGTCTAGGGTTTTTATCTTCTTCTCAAGTGTATTTCTATATATGCTCCCTATTTTCTCATCTTTTAGCTTTGAAATGTCTCTTTTCTTTTGGAAATGCGCATTAACTTTCCTCTTCAGTTTTATCTTTATGTTTGCAATGACTAAGCTGTGATCAGAATCTATGTAGGCTCCCTGAAAGGTTTGACATTGTTGAACTAATGTTGACCATCTCCTTTGGATCAAAATCATAACAAAATAAACCAAACTACTGGGTTGTTCGGAAAGTAAGTTCGTATATTTTTATAATTTATTGAATAAAAATTAACTGTATCATATATATGTACAGTACATACTGTAATACCATGGTTCCTAATTAGTGGTACGCATACCCCCAGGGGTAAGCGAAATTGCATAAAGGGACACGCACGGCAATCTTAAATCGGTTGATTTAAAGTTTAAATGCATGAGATGAAGCAATCAAAAAAATAATGGAAGGACCATCAAAAATTCAGCAATTTACAACATGATGTCGAATGCACAAATTCATTTATTTATAACTAAAAATATTCTCGAAATTTCATCAAAAAAATGCATTTGTGACAATACCTAAATGAAATTCTTATGCAAGAAACAAAAATTGTCCAATTATCATTATCATCATGTCAGCGAAGCGGCAATAAAATATTTACTACCATTTTGCACAACATACCTCTGAGAGAGCAGATTTTCAGCCATGACAAACATGAAAACTAAACATCGTCACCGACTTCAACTCTAAGATGACTTTAGACTGAAGCTGACCAAAAAGCAACCAAATTTTACAAAGTTGTGCAAAGAAAATCATGCACATTTGTCACATTAAAATTAAATAACCTTATGTTATTTTCATTATTATTAGAATTGTATTTTAAATGTAATAAATGTAAAAAAAAACTTATTCTATTTATCACTAGCTGTCTATCCACAGCTTCGTCCACATTATATCAAATTTTCTCGTGGGAGTAAGATATTTTCTCACAGTAAAATGTAGCCTATGTCCATCTCCAACATGTAAGCTATCTCTGTGCCAAATTTTATTAAAACTTGTTCAGCGGTTTAGACATGAAAAGATAACAGACAGACAGGCAGAATTACCTTCAAATTTATAATATTAGTATGGATTAATATGAATTTCTGCTATAAGGGGTATGCGAGTTTGAGCTCTTTCTTGAAGTGGTATGCAGGAAAAGTTGGGAACCACTGCTGTAATATATCAAAAGTAAAGAAACAAATTAACATTGCACAAAATTAAAATAGAACTAGAAAATGGAAACCAGTCTAAATGGAAAAAAATAATTAGGTACCATGTGATTCTGGCTTACACAGGTTTTATTGTATTTAATTACAATAAAATGTAATTGTCAGAAATGGCATTTTTGTAATATAATAAAAATTTTATTATACAATAAATACCATTCTTCATAATTATACCTATACCATAAGAAAATTTTTTTATTAAAACATTACATATAATTCTGTACAGTACATGAAAATGTAGTGCATACAGTCTTAAATGTTTGATTTAAAGTAATGTGAAATGGACATTTGCTTTCTCTGTTTTAACTTGATAAGATGATGTTTTCAATATTTCTTTTCTATTGGTCAAACAATTCAAAAAACCACTCAAAATTTATATCCCATTATTCTATTTCCCTATTCATCTATCCTTATTAATGGAAAGATTAGATTCATTGGCTTTGATGTATTATTTAGGTTAATAAGAATAAAGTATAGACAAATAAGTCTATACTTTACCAAGGATATACTTTGTTAAAAATATTAACAGAAATTATGTATATTCTTTATGATAGGACTGAATAGAAGAAAATAGAGACATTGGAGTTGTAAAAAATTCAGATAAACATTTACACCTAATGCAACATACCAACACTGCACATTGTATGTGCCAATGGTTTCAATTTGATCATCTCATCTGGGATGATGAAACAGGTCACCTCAAAGAGGGTCATCACACAAAGGAATTGTGGGTCCAGATGATCATTGATAGAGTGAAGGATTGGTGGACTTAAAGAAGATTAAAAATAATGAGTTCTATGGAAAAAAATTCTGTTCTAAGAAAATCTGGTTTTATAAAGGGGTAGTCATCTGGAGAGGGTTTATTGTACATTAATATCATATATTTATTTTAGTATTATTTTCAAAGTTAAATAATATTTGAAATGACAATTCTAAACAATTTTCTATATAAATAAAACTTTTGCCTCTTAATTTTGATTACTAATACAGAAAAGGGGCATATCCTGTAATGTCATATGCAGGACAGAAATAGAAAGTAACTTTTAATTCTCTTAAAACAAAATTTATTTCTTGTAAGCTAATTAATTCATAAATTTTATTTCACTTACATTTTGAAATAAATATGCTGTAACAAGTGTTGATACAACTGAATCCAAATCACAAGCTTCATTTCCCAAGACTACATGTACTTGTTTCAATTGATCTAAAATAGTCTAAAAATATATCAAAATAAAAATGTAGTTATTTTAATTAAAAATTATATACAAAATTATTAAATTTTAATGCAGATTTCAGTTTAAAATAATATATTATATATAAATAGTATAATTTAATAAATACATTCTAGGAAATACTTCAATTCTTGTTAAATGAGACTTTCATGAAACTTTTCCTTATTTTATAATCTCTTATAAAATTAGTTATAATTACTTTGTAATCAATTATTGAATCAAATAAAATCCATCACTTTAAACAGTAAGAATGATAAACTTTTTATTACAAATAAGAGAGTAATTTTTTTCATTCATTTATAATTAAAAAAATAAATCAAAATACAGTAGCTATGTAAAATGTAAGCTGTAATTAAACTGCAATTAATATATAGATTTAGTAATAATTGATGTCATAAAAAAGTCATTAGGAAAATGATTTTATTAATATTATAATTATTAAGCATACATAATTATTATTAAGCATAAAAAAAATTTAAAAATTTTTTTGTAATAATTTATTTCTATATATCAATAAAAGATAAAAAAATAAACTTAGATCAAACTTCTAACTTAGAAGGTAATTTTCATTATTTAAATAAAACTTAATACAAAATATTATTGTAAATTTTTATAATAAGATTTTAAAAAGCAAAGATGGTCACTCAATTTGATTCTTATTTTACTAAAGAAAATTCCTGCTACCAAGAATGCCCTTTTCGATTCAATTGATGTGAGTGGGATCATTAATGCATTTAAGAGAAGAGAGATGTTATGTGTTTTTTTCACCTGTAGCCTTGAAGATTTCTAGTTCGTTTTTGAGATGCATTACAGTATTTCATTTGCTGTCTAATACTCTTGATTTGTCTACCTCGGCTGCTTTAATAGCAGCATCAAGCTTACAGCCCAATAATTCGGCAGTTCATTTGGCTTTAATAATCAGGTTTATGAAGAAAAACTTCATACTTGCATACTTCCTACTCTTTGATATCCTGGCCTAATTTGCACAACCTAGCATAATGCAGTTATTGAAGCTACTTGGCATGGTTAAAAATTACGACAGCATAAGCACAATTATTCCAGATATTACAGGTTCTGACAAAGAATTTTCAGTCCTCTCACAAATTATTGATAATCTGTGACATGCCATAATAAGCAAAAATTTTAAAAACTAATAAGCAGGCTAAAAATTAATAAATATAGTGTACAAATTTATTCTGAGTTTATGGATTAATAATTATACTTCTATTTGCAAAATTTCCTCAACTTTAACACAAATAAGAAAAAAGTGAATTTTTAAGAAATTTGTAGGATTTCCCAGGATGAGAAGAATTTCCCAGAATATTTCCCAGGTTAAAAAACAGCCAGGATCCCGTTGGAGAAACCCTACTTCCAACACAGTCATTGAAAGCATGACATTTACAGTTATGAAGTTTGGAAGGTAGCATCTCAGATACTAAAATCTTATTTTTCTATTACACTTCATTGCAGATGTACCATATTTTACGGACTATAAAACACACCTTAATTTTTAAGCAATTTTTTTAAAAAATAACATTTTTACCATTTATACTGCCTAAATTCAATCCTTTTATACGGATTGATGCAAACACTGATCCACCAATCAATGCTTAGTGACGCTATCGAACTTACGCTGATCGTATGATGGTCACATGATGATCACTGCCCAATCTGCTGTCGTGGATTCAGAACCACTGGTCATCTCATAATCCGAGTTTCTATGGCGACAACTGTTGCTCATTTGAAAAGAGAAAAAGCATGGGAATCGTACGTCCAGACAATTCTATTCCGACACCCCACAACTCATGTTCGTCGCATCGGTGCACTGCTGCTGCCAGTTGAATTCAATGTTGCCAGATAGAGATAGGTTTCCCGCGGCATCAAATATATGGCCATTTTTAAGATGTGAGAATTTTAAATCAAACACTGGACATTTTTATATTAATTTCGAGTATAAGACGCACCTGAATTTTGGAGGCAATTTTTCAAAGAAAAAAGTGTATCTTATAGTCTGTAAAATATGGTATATATTCTCACTAATAACAGACAACTTTTCCAAGAAGTTAATGTTTAAAGTTTATATAAATCAGAAGAAATACTTACATAAAATTCAATTAAAAAAAATTATATATATATATATAATAATAATAATAATAATAATTTTGTTTTAAAAACTTTTAAATAAAGAAAAATCTTTCAATGACACAAATACAATTAGCAATTTTTCAAAAATTTTATTATTTGAATTTCTATTTTATGATAAATCTTACTTGCTTAACTTAATGATAAATCTTACTTGTTTAAAAAAAAAACTGAAAGTCAAATCACTAACAGTTCATGTATATTTTTACAAGAATTTTTTTCTTTAAGAAATAATGAAATTGTTATTTCATATATGATTAATAAGTTATTACTGAATTCTTCAAAAAATGCTTGCTTGCCTTTTTAAAAATTTTAGTTTTCAAAATACATTAAATGAATGAAAAATAAATCTGTAATCTGAACATGAAAATATCAAGCTAGATATGTAAAACATGGTCAAACTCTAATATTCTTTTTTAACACAAAAGCTCTTAAAATATGTGAAAAATATGACAGTTTATTTCGTAACAAAATTAAACAAATAATAAAAACTATAGTATTAATAATAAACTATTACTTAAAGTAATTTTATTCTTGTATATTAAATAAGCCATATTTCAGCAATTATGATGACATTTCTTTCATTCAGTATATATTTCAAAATATTTGAAATTTCTTTTATTAAGTAATTTTAACTTATGTAAAAGTTACTAATAGTGAATATTACTTATTATTTACTGTACTTGTATTATGTAACATTTGGAAAGTCATCCATTCTTTTAGTAATCATATAAAGCTTAAGTATTAAAATAATTTTAATACATTATATATGAGTCATTGTCAGTCATTGTGTACAAGTTTAAATTTTAAAAGACAGGTATTACTGGTTTTGTTTTGATTAAAATAAATATAAACATTTCTAAATCAGATAAAGTAATAAACTGTATAATATCCCATTTAAGTTAGGATATANATGTATATTTTTACAAGAATTTTTTTCTTTAAGAAATAATGAAATTGTTATTTCATATATGATTAATAAGTTATTACTGAATTCTTCAAAAAATGCTTGCTTGCCTTTTTAAAAATTTTAGTTTTCAAAATACATTAAATGAATGAAAAATAAATCTGTAATCTGAACATGAAAATATCAAGCTAGATATGTAAAACATGGTCAAACTCTAATATTCTTTTTTAACACAAAAGCTCTTAAAATATGTGAAAAATATGACAGTTTATTTCGTAACAAAATTAAACAAATAATAAAAACTATAGTATTAATAATAAACTATTACTTAAAGTAATTTTATTCTTGTATATTAAATAAGCCATATTTCAGCAATTATGATGACATTTCTTTCATTCAGTATATATTTCAAAATATTTGAAATTTCTTTTATTAAGTAATTTTAACTTATGTAAAAGTTACTAATAGTGAATATTACTTATTATTTACTGTACTTGTATTATGTAACATTTGGAAAGTCATCCATTCTTTTAGTAATCATATAAAGCTTAAGTATTAAAATACTTTTAATACATTATATATGAGTCATTGTCAGTCATTGTGTACAAGTTTAAATTTTAAAAGACAGGTATTACTGGTTTTGTTTTGATTAAAATAAATATAAACATTTCTAAATCAGATAAAGTAATAAACTGTATAATATCCCATTTAAGTTAGGATATAAAAGTTATTATAAATTATAAAATTAAAATTAATATATATTTTTTATATGTAATTGTTATATCATAACATTGCATTAGTCAAATCAATTAAATATTTCCTTTTAAGCAATTAGATATGAATAAGAATCATATGGTTCATTAAATTTTTAATTTTTTTAAATTGCTAAAATAGTTCAAAAATAAACTATTTATTCTTTGATAGTATAAATTTGAATAATATAAAATATAAATTCTATTAATTTTATCATAAGCAAAATATTAATATGACATTAATACTTAAATTAATTATCAAAGTTAAAAACTAATAAAGGAAATAACTTTTTGAAATAAATAGAATATAATTTCACTAGAAAAACAATTTTCTACATCATTAACAAATATGATCATAAAAAAGCAATTTAATAGACATTATCAAAAATAATAGAAAATGGTAAAATTATTACATAATATTAATTCCCAGAAATATTATAAGATTTTTAGATTTTATCAAAAAAAAAAAAATCATACATATAAATGTTTAGTTGCACAAGCATAATTAAATAATTTATTCTATACAATAATCAATACTTCTTTAAAATAAGAATAGTTTTTTTCATTTACTTCTATATTAATAAGCTTCTTAAACTAAAGTGTAAATTTAAAGTGTTCTACACTACAACTTTAAATTTACTTCTGTATTACTGTAAAATATTAATTTTGTAGTATATTTTTCAATTTATTACTGAAATATTAAAAAAAAAAAATATTATGTCAAGCACTCATATGAAATATTTAAACTTGTTTGAATTTAAAAAATCAATGGTTTGTATTGTAACAATTTAAAGAATTTCTAGTCTTTAGTCATTAATGTACTGGTGAGTAAAGACTAAAAACATTAATCTTAAAATTGTTATAACTTAAAATTTCATTAAAAAAAATTGATTTCCTGATCGATTGATGACCTCATCGATTTAAACATATCCAGAATATACATAATGCATTCAGAAATAAATATGTTTTAAAACCAACACCAGGCTCTAAGAATTACAACTCAAAAACAAATTATGAAAAATAAATAAATAAAACAGTAAGATTTTTTCCACAGTTTTGATTTTATAATATATATTTTACACCTGAAGAAAGCAATTAGCATATTCTTTTCTGTTAATGTTCATTATAAGAAGATTACAGGCAAAATATTTGATTTCTAAAAACAAAAACATTTCTCATTAAGAATATTTTATGTAAAAGATATTATATCAACACAAATCATCAATTTTTGAAATTTGATAACTTCATGATGTAATAAACTACTATATTTCAATTCACAAAAATGATTTTAAGTACTTTACACGCATTTAAAGTACAGCTGTCCCTTGATAGTCCGATGTTTTGTAATCCAACATGCTCAGTAGTCCGACACACCTCCTGTCAAGGTACCTGTCCCCGTTTATGTGTCTGCTAGCATGGAAGCATGTCGCGACATGAATCTCCCCACCCAATTCTTACATGATGACACACATTTCTTGTGTTTTCTGTGAGCAGTTCTGTTCGAACAGTTGGAGTAGGGAATATTGTAGGCTACTGCTAGCAAAACAATGCCAAATATGTAATCACTTTCGGTAATCCAGACACTTTTGGCAATCCGACAACCGTTTGGTCCCATACCTGTCAGATTATCAAGGGACAGCTGTATTAAAAAAACAATATATTGTCAATTACAGTATGATGCTGGTTATGATCAATGTACACGTTTCCAATGTAAACATTCAAACAATGAATATGCAATGCAAACAATTTCAAAAGTGAAAATGCTATTTATGTTTTCCAATAAATCTTATTTATATTAACAATTTACTATTGATCATTTTATCTTGCATTGTGAATAACAGAATGGAGATTAGAAAAAATATGTATGCTGAATGATAAGGTAAAAAGAAATACATTTCAGAATGCTGTAAACAGCTTGAAAGCAAGCAGATGTGAGAAAAACAACTTGGCATTGAGAAGTGAGTCACAATAATTTTTTAACAGATGAATGTCATTGATAAATATGCAAATATGATTCCCTGTAGTTGAAGTGTATTGAAGATAATAAGAAATTTAAAATTTTATTACTTAATATTTTATGATAATCTAAATAAAGCATTACAATTGTATTAAGGAATTTTTTAAGTAAATATCACTTGAGTCTTGATATAAGATTAAGCAAAATATTAATTAATAAGAGTTTGTCAAAGCGTACTTACTAAATTTTTCCTACTAGAATTGAGAAATGTCTCCATATTTAGTTATTAAACGGACATTTTCTAAAAATCTTCGTTAATATTTCGGGTAGAAAATTAGAATGTAGCGATTTGTTGATGACTTGTCGTTTGCCACCTTAACAATAGATGGCGCTGAAGTAAAATGGTGGAAATTCCTGCTTTTGATATAGATTATCGTATGGCAAACGTCAATAAAATATTTTCGAACAAATTACGACTGAATAAGATAAAAAATATGAATTATTTTTTGGATTATTTAAATTTTAAATATAAAATTTGTCCAATTATAAAATAAATTTCAATTTTTTAATAAGTCGTCCAAATGATGACGCAGTAATACGTTAAAGATCCATATCGAATTCAATCTTTATGATTTTTAATGAGTAATTTGGTTAACACGTCTTTCTTATACTCCTTGTGTTTACTGACTGATTCCATTGTGGATCGATTGACCCGAGCAGGTAGCGGATTACCCAATAGGCGCACTAAAAGCTCGCCTAGAGCCTGGTCGTCTCGAGGGGCCTAAAAAATTACATAGTAAAAAATATGCCTGTAAAAACTTGCTGAACATTTAAAAAGTGTATATTTCATACCCGGCAAGAACAGTGACATAACTCATAAATTGACGATTTTATTGTATTTCTAATGTAAAAAATACTTTTACATAAAAGTCTTATAACAAAACTGCACCCAGGACCCGAAAGAAACACAATTCGCTACTCTTACGAGCCATAGCAGAAAAGACTAAGATTATCCGTATAAACTGGTTCATGAGCGTATCCAGCGGGGTGCTTATGGTGCTACAGTAGCACTTTGATTGCTTTGAAATCAATCAAGTTTTGTTTGTTCAAAATAAAAATAAATATAATAACGCTTATCGCATGACTTCAATTAGGTAAGATTATGTATATAAATAAAGTAATTTAAGATAATTGAGTAACATTCTCCGAAAAATGACAGAGGGCTGTGCATAGGCTACCTTGGTCACCTGAGTCTGTCTTGAACACAGTCCATATTCTCAAAATCCTGGATATGCCATTAAACCGATGGATATCGTGAGTAGTATTGTATCTCAACTGATTGAGATACAATTAAATTATCAAAATTTCGGTATAACAAAATACAATAAAGTTAATTCTCCTTTAAAAGTCAGTCCTTGACCTGGAGATGCGAGATATCTTCTCTGAAAAATAAAAAGTTCAAAGAAAAATAAATTATTTTTATTCAGAACTAAGTTTTAAAAAATTAACAAGATCTTCGTGAAACTGTACCAATAATAAATTTAAATATATAATTATGTATTATTATTATTTTAATTTTTTTGAATTTAATGAATGGGCAAAGAAGAATTTTCTTTCTTAATTTTTAAACCTATTGTTACGCTAAAATATGTGTAAGAAAATGGAATACCTCTACAACTTTAAATTAAAAGCAAATTTCTAACAAATGTTTTCTTTCTTGACAATGCATTTCGAAAATTAAGAGGATGAGGACAGCGGTAAAAGAATGTATAGTAGAACCTCGATTATCCGGACTAATTGGGGATGAAGGTAGTCCGGATAATGAAAAATCCGGATAATCGAAATAAGTACTTTGTCTTTTAACGATAATACAACACGTTTTCTTTTCGATGACATATCGGTAATATTAAAAGTAAATACTGTATTTAAATCGTGATCAAATTTTCAAGAAAAACGTTCGTATTGAATTTGTACTACTACTGACCAACGCTAACAGACTACCTATTGTTTAAAAGCCCCTCTGGTGACGCAAGAAGACGGATTTTATAAAATAAAAAGCAGTTGAAACTGCATTTTTATGAATAAAAATCTGACAAACTATTTATCGTTTTATGACGAGTAAAATTTTTTCGTCACGTTCGCGGCTTTTAAGTAATGCATAAACCTTCCAGGCGCGAGGCCCTTCGGACCGCGAGGCATAGGCGGTGGCCCACGTCGTCCATGCCTTACGCCGCCCTTTGTCATAGAAATGATGTAATTTGAATACAAATTATTTATAAATACGTATGTCAAGTTATATTTTTATTACTACGTAAAATATATTTAAGAGTTTAGACCACTGTGCCGGGTGAGACGTTGTTGAAACAAAAAAAGTTATGCATTCCATCACGTACATAAACAGTGTCGTAATTCGCCAAGTGCAAATCAGCAAATTCGTAAAATTTTTGTTTATTTTGAACAATCCGGATAATCGAAAATCCGGGTAATGGAGGTTCTACTGTATTTTAAATTTTAAAAATATGATTAAAAATTGCAGCCCGACATTGTGATCATGTCACAATAAATAATTATTCGTTTAATTTTAACTTTATTTTTTTGGACAAAGACAATTCACTTTATTTCTCTCCAATTTCGATGATTTTGAATATCGCGAGCAGCATGAAAAAATAAGATAATCTTTCTCCGATTCGATATTGCAATTAACCATATTAATTAAAACTAATCTTCGCAAAATTTTTTACTGTCAGAAATGTCAGCAGAGGTCAATAGATTAATACTTTTTGCGTAATTCTTTCAATATTTTAACGATTAGCAAATCAATTCAAAGTAAAATTTGCAAATGAGATTTATCTTTCCAAATTTCACTTAAACCAGAAATATATTGAAGAAGTTTTAACTTTTAAAATGTTTCTGGTGGACCAGGCAATTTTCTTTTTTCCCATTTCATTAAGATTTTCAATTATAATTTTAGTTTTTCATTCTGATAAATTTGACAGTGCTGTTTTTTTAATGCTTTTTCGACATAAAAAAAATACTAAAATAGAAAGCAATATCAGACAATTTATTCCTCTTAAGCTAAACCCAGTTATAGTTCGGAAAGAAAAAATTTTTTTTTTTATTGATGTAAAGATTTTTAAGGTGGGAAAAAATAACTAGTTAATTTTCATTTATTGTATTTAAACATCTGGAGTTACATTTAAAAGCTGTGTACAGTACATATAGCCTTATTCTTTGAAAAGTTTTTGAAATAAACATATTTATTTTAATTTTAGTCTTTGGAAATTGACTTTAAACAAAGTAGACCGCTGTCTTCCAACCCTGACTAGGAGTTTCTTTCTTCGCCCTCTCAAACAGTATTATTAGATATTGACAGTGAATGCGATGATGTGGAGTCGTAAAAGACATGTTATGTGGCATTTTAAATAAGAGTAACAATGATATAATGTAGACAAGCGAAATTTATTAAAGAAATAAATAAATTCGTATGAAAAAACAACTTTTAAGAAAAATAATTATCTTATCAATAAAGAACAATTTCTACGATAAAGTAGATGAAGTATGCAAAATTTAAAATTGTTTTGCACACTTCATTTACTTTTAGTTATTAACATATTTGTCCAAATATAGTTTTTAATTTATTAAATTGTTTGATAATATAATATAAACTTGAGTGCTGAGTTATGTTTAAGTTATGATTGCTTGTTCACCTTATAGTTCGTTAATTTAGTTCAGATCAACACACCAGTGTTGAGATCACCTGCGAACTAGTAAGAAACTTAAAACGTTATAATCAAAGCAAGCCAAAAACTAGAAAGAAATTTTATAAAGGAAAAAACACGATTTATTAGACAAATTTGTTCGTAGCTTAGGTATATATGATAATTCATATATATATATATAAATCCTTACTTTAACGCATTTTAGTTGGTATCCACGTATAATGTCCGGTGATTCCCTGCATTCACTAGTGCAATGTTCTGCAACCGGTGTGCTGTCACAAGGTGAAAGGTGTGACGTAAACGTTTACATATTGTATTAATTGTCAAGTTTTATTTATATATTTTTATCACAGTTGCTGTTTCTTATGCTTGTATTTCATTCTCTGCCACAGCACTGATGAAATATGATGTTTGTTTATTCGTTATTACAAACCACGCATTTTTATGTATTCTAAGAAATTAAATGTATAATAAATTTGCTCACAGGTGTTGATGTCTGTTTAATAATAAAAAAAAAGATAATAGGTTAGTGGCATTATGTAATTCTATTAATAGTATCATATCATATATGTTTTTGAGAGTAATAACATTTTGGTGTACCATCTTGAATCATGTAGAAAAGGGTTGCGGAACACTGCACTAATGTATAGCAATTTTTATTTAAAATTTAGTTTTCCTGGCACTTTTCCCTTATAGCGCATGCAACAATGAAAAGGATGTATAGCTTTTACAGACCGATTTTATTTCAAATAGATAATTATTCATTTTACACCGTGTGGAACTTATTTACTTTATTTAACACTTGAATACAGCACACATGCACATAACAACGAACTAGATAATACCAGTCAGGAACTAAAAAACTGAGCAGTTGCAAACTAGTTCACTCCGGTCACTTGAGAGATCAATCTTTCGAACTAGTTCGTTCACGAACTACCCAAGCCTATTTTACAGCCAAGAACTGAACAATGCGCGTGCCAGTTTTAAACCAGTTAGGGGGCTTGTGTTGGAACAAACTTAATATTTGCCAGAGATATTTGCAAGTTAGAATTTTAAAAGTACATTTTCTGTCACTCTTAGCCTAGGGATAAGTTTGGGTGGGGTGTGAAGTTCAAGGTTTTAACCGTTAAAATAAAATAAATTTATAAAAATATTTGCGATTATTTTGTTTCATCACAATTTCATAATTTCTTCTAACACCGAACAAATTAATAATTAATCCGGGCCATGAATTTAAAAACCAGCTTGTCCGGGTGAAAAGCGGCCTGGTGGCAACACTAATATGGAATTCTTGAATGCCATTTATATTACGTAAATGTCAATTAATGAGATTTTTACTAATTACTGTAATTTGATTTAGATTCTACTGTGGCGCGTATCGAAAACGGAAATAGTATCTTTCCCGCATGTGCATTGAAATCTAATTTAAATAACAATGTAATGAATAATTCGTTACTTGGCGCAAAGCGATTTCGGTGCCACTAACTTTGAATCTATTGTCCCGTCCGTCGACTTTAACCATAGGAAGCTGACCATCAGTGACTGGCTCTGCCGAGTAGATTGTTCAGAAACAGTTATAGTATGGCAACCGGAGCAAATATGGCGTTCCAAATTTTGTTCGTAAACAGGAGAGTCCTAACCCGAAGTTTGACTGTATTTCCTTAAGCATAGATGCTGCTGCT